GGACCACAGACACACGGCTCCCTGCGGCAGAAATGGTAGGCGCAGGGCTTCAGAGCCGGCGAGTGGAGCGCGCTGAGGCGACGGATCCATCCCCTGCGCAACGACGGCCGCCCAACGCCTGGATCAGAGGTTCAGCCTCATCCAAGAAGTGGACAAGGGAGGTTCCGCAGGTCGTGTGGAAAGACCTGGAATCCAGGTTTGGTGAGAGGTCAAGCTCTTTCTGAACCTGTTTCCTTGTGAAGCAGGGGCCACTTGGTTCTCAGCTGGTGATGGGTGGCTCCATTTACTACCTGATCTTGACCTGATTTCGGGGCCTCCTCTGAGAGCGGCACGAGGACTGGCTGCTTTTCCTCCTGGATCAGCTCAATCCGCAGAGCCTGGCGCTCTTTATCATTGTGTCTTTGGCTGGAAACCTCGCTGTGGAGTTGAATTCGTTCCCTTTTGTTCTCTGACTCAAATCAGATTGTCCCACACTTGTGCTGGAGTGAGGGAAGGCGAAGTGTCTTCCCAAGGGATGAACTTCTTGGTTTTCAGAGAGATGATAGGTGTCAGAGGTAGAGACAATATAGGGCCCAGATGAAAAGGTGAGGGGATATCAGGAGGTAAAAGCATCGTGCAGTCAGCTTTGTCCTGTGCCCTCCTTGGATTCACTGACTGTGGCTTGTTCTACAAGGTGACTCAGAGCAGAGAAAGGTGGGCTGGTTGTTGGCCCTGTGGAGCTTTCCGGTGGTGAAGAACTCTTTCCAAATTTCTTCAGTTCAGTAGCGACCCCAAGGATGGCAACACGCCAGGCTTCCCTGTCTATCACCAAAGCCTGGAGTTTCTTCAAACTCATGTGCATTGAGTCAGTGATGCCATCCAACCATCTCATGCTCAGTCACCCTCATCTCTTCTTGCCTTCAATCTTTCCAGCATCAGGGATTTTATGCTGAGTCAGCTCTTCCCATCGGTGGCCAAACTGTTGGACCTTCAACTTCAGCATCAGTCCTCCCGAAGAACATTCAGGACTGATTTCCTTTAGGATGGACTGGTTGGATCTCCTTGCAGTCCAAGGGGCTCTCAAGAGACTTCTCCAACACCACAGTTTAAAAGCATCAATTCTTTGGCACTCAGTTTCCTTTATAGTGCAACTCTCACATCCATACATGACTACTGGGAAAACCATAGCTTTGATGAGATGGACCTGTGTCTGGAAAGTAATATCTCTGCTTTTTAATGTGCTGTCCTGGTTGGTCATAGCTTTTCTTCCAAGGAGCAAGCGTCTTTTAATTTCATGGCTACAGTCACCATCTACAGTAAGTTTGGAGCCCAGAAAATATTCTGTCACTGTTTCCATGGTTTCCCCATCTATTTGCCATGAAGTGATGGGACCAGATGCCATGATCTTTGTTTTTTGAAGGTGGAATATTAAGCCAGCTTTTTCACTCTCCACTTTCACTTTCATCTAGAGGTTCCTTACTTCCTGTTGTTTTCTGCCATAAAGGCGGTGTCATCTACATATCTGAGGTTATTGATATTTCTTGCAGGAATACTGATTCCAGCTTGGGCTTCATGCAGGCTGGCATTTCACATGATGTACTTTGCATAGAAGTTAAATAAGCAGGGTGACAACATACAGTCTTGACATACTCCTTTCACAATTTGGAACCAGTCTGTTGATTCATGTCCAATTCTAACTGGTGTTTCTTCACCTGCATACAGCTTTCTCAGGAGGCAGGTAAGGTGGTCTGGTATTCCCATCTCTTGAAGAATTTTCCACAATTTGTTGTGATCCACACAGTCAAAGTCTTTGGCATAGTCAATAAAGCAGAAGTAGATGTTCTTCTGGAACTCTCTTGCTTTTACTATGAACCATCGGATGTTGGCAATTTGATCTCTGGCTCCTCTGCCTTTTCTGAATCCAGCTTGCACATCTGGACGTTCTCAGTTCACATACTGTGAAAACCTCACAGTGAGAATGTTGACCATTACTTTGGTTAACATGTGAGATGAGTGCAATTGTGCAGTAGTTGGAACAGTCTTTGCCACTGCCTTTCTTTGGGACTGGGATGAAAACTGACCTTTTCCAGTCCTGTGGCTGCTGCTGAGTTTTCCAAATTTACGGGCATCTTGAGTGCAGCATTTTAACAGCCAGGCCTCTATGTCCATCACAAGAGTTTTTTGAATGTTCTTCCTAATGACCCTGAGTTATAAGTAATGCAGTCTGTCCGGGGAGATTGCTTACATACAATTGCTTGTCCTGTGTGAGCACCAGGCATTGTTCCAGGATCTTTTTAAAACTTTGTTTTCTTGGCCTCAGGTACTTTCTTCATAAAGATACCCCGATCATTACTCTGCTGAGTACTTGAGGAGACCCATTCATATCCCAGCATTCTCTCTCTCTCCCACTCTCTCTCATCACTGGAGTTTTCTTCGTGTTTCTTTTAATTATTATTAACTTTTATTGGAGTATAGCTGTTTTACGATTTGTTAATTATGATGTGTTAATAGCACAGTGAATTGGCTATACATATACATGTATCTCCTCTTTTTTGGATTTCCTTCTCATTTAGGTAACCACAGAGCATACAGTAGTTCCCTATGGCATACAATAGATTCTCATTTGATAGTTATTGTGTACATAGCATCAATAGTGCATATAGGCAAATCCTAATTTCCCAATTCCCCCAACTCCCCTTTCCACCTTGATATCCATACCTTTGTTCTCTACTTTGTTTTTGGAAATAAGAATCACTGGATCTTTGTCCTGTGAACTCTAGCTGATTGCTCTCCACCAACACTCAGCTTCATCTCCAGAGTCAATCCAATGGATTGACCTCAAATCCTCCTCTTGGTGCCCAGCCTGGGAACTCACTGAAAGCAGGAAGCTGGGCCCATGGCAAGACTCACCTTGTTTGTTGGTCGCCTCTCAAGGCTTGCCATCCTTTGCTGCCTGAATTCCTGTGTCTTAAAAACCAGTATTTCATGTTTTTTGTCTTTGATTCCTTTGGAAGTCTGACAAAGGGGGAGAGTGAGATTTAGGAAGGAGGGTTAATCTGATTTCTGTCACTGCACCTTTGCTAGAAACTGAAGGCATCCTATATGCTCTTAGTTTTCCCTAAATAAATGTTCTAATTTATATTCCAATGTATTTTGCCAGCTCAAGGAAAGAGTCTTTTTCTTCATGGTCTTGCCATCACAAGAAATTGTCAATAGTCATGTCTGTTACTCTAACAAAGGAATTTGTGCCCTACTGACTCAGCTTAGCGGGAGGTACATTGGAAAGACAATGTGTTCATCTCCCAGAGATCGCACATACTCAGCAGCTAAACTTCCAAGCTGATCGGAAAGTATTCTAAGAATTGTAACTGTTTTCAGTGGTGATCCAGTAATTCACTCCAGAGAGGACCAGCCAGAATGACTCTGGAGAGCCTCTGGCAGACCAGCTTATGCATTACAGGAGTTAAAAAAAAAAAAAAAAGCCCACGGGTCCCAGACATTTCTCCTCTTCCCTTCCCTTTATGAGTTGTATTTTTGCTTTGGTTGGATGCACACAATCTAATGAGGGGTCTCCCTCCAATTTACCGGTGCATTTCAAGCCTGAGACTGTCTCCGAATGATATCTCGACAGTATGTGGCTACATCTGCAAAAATTATCTCATTTGAGACAAATTGGTACAAGCTACAGAATCCTGCACCGATGATATATCTTGTGCAACCTGGATCCTGAGAGTTCCTGGTTCGCCTTCCACTGGTTCCTCCGTTGAAGCTCATGAGGAAACAAGAGCTCTTTGGATTTTCCGTACTCAGTCGAGGATGTCTCTAGGTTGTAGGACATTTCCCCCTGCCCTTCTCTTTCCCTCTTGGAGTGTATACCCTTCTGTCTCTCTCTGTCCCTTATACTCTACGCTGCTGTGGATCTTACCCATATTCTGTCTTCCTCATCAGTTTTCTGGAGCTGTGCATTGGGAGTCCTTAGTCAGGAAGCACTTACTAGGTGCTCACCAGGTCCAGGCCCTTCTCCTGGAAAACTGCTGAATCAGGAGCAAAGTCAAGGTTCCAGTCCATGGCGCATTCACACCAGGAGGCATCAGAAATAAGACACACACACACACACAGACACACACACACACAGACACACACACACAGACACACACACACACACACACAGACACACACACACACACACACAGACACACACACACAGACACACACACACAGACACACACACAGACACACACACACACACACACAGACACACACACACAGACACACACAGACACACACACAGACACACACACACACACACAGACACACACACACAGAGACACACACACACACAGACACACACACAGAGAGACACACACACACAGACACACACACAGAGAGACACACACACACAGACACACACACACACAGACACACACACACAGAGACACACACACAGACACACACACACACAGAGACACACACACACAGACACACACACACACAGACAAATAAGAATCACAGCAGGAGAGCAACCTGTCATGTTCTTCTCAGGTTCATCTGCCTGCCGGCGCATAAGGACCCCAGCAGTGAGTAAAAAAGGAATAACATAGCACATGGGAAAACGGGTGACTTGAGATCTAGAAGGCAGGTAACTAAGAATCAGGAATGTTTTTTCAAAAATAAAGGAGTACCTCAGGTAAGCAACAGGTCCTTACTTAGCTTAGAGTCCATGTGTTGTACTCTTCTTCAAGTGACATTATGGCTACATTCAGGAACATCTCCTAAAGGTACCCCCGCATCCTCTTAAGCTGTTAAGCTGTAGCCCTTCTATATAGACTCTATAAAAATATGGGCAGCATTATTTCTACCATAATTAGAAATTCTCTGTGCAAAGATTATACATTAATTCAACGAATTTAATATCAGTCAAAGAACTTAAAGTTAGGGTTCGCCCAGGGAGTCGGGCCCCTGGCCGCCACCGCTACCTCGGCCGTTGCCGCCGCCATCGCCTTCATCCCTCGTCCCCCACCATGGCCGAGGAGCTCTCCGCGGCCACGTCCTACACCGAAGATGACTTCTACTGCCCCGTCTGTCAGGAGGTGCTCAAAACGCCTGTGTGGACTGTGGCCTGTCAGCACGTTTTCTGTAGAAAGTGTTTCCTGATTGCAGTGAGAGAAAGTGGAATACATTGTCCCCTCTGTCATGGAAGTGTGAATAGAAGAGAGAGATCATGTCCTGAATGGGCCTTAGATCTTGAAAATATCATGAGGAAATTTTCTGGTAGCTGCAGATGCTGTGGAAAACGGATTAAATTCTATCGCATGAGACATCATTACAAATCTTGTAAGAAGTATCAAGATGAATATGATGTTTCTTCTATTGTTCCAAACTTTCAGATCTCTCAAGATTCAGTAGGGAACAGTAACAGGAGTGAAACATCTGCCTCTGATAACACAGAAACTTACCAGGAAGTTCTTCTGGGCAGCCTACCTTTAAGTGTCCCTTGTGTCAAGAATCAAATTTTACTGGACAGTGTTTATGGGATCATTATAGCGGTAACCACCTATTTCAGATAGTTCCTATGACGTGTCCTATTTGTGTGTCTCTTCCTTGGGGAGATCCTAGCCAGGTTACTAGAAATTTTGTTAGTCATGTAAATCAAAGGCATCCGTTTGATTATGGAGAATTTGTGAATCTTCAGCTAGATGAGGAAACCCCGTATCAAACTGCTGTTGAAGAATCTTTTCAAGTAAACATCTGAAGGCTGTATACACCTCTGCATCTTTGTACCTGTAAGTGCCATCTTTAAGGAGAAAACTACAGGAAGTCACCATTTCAATAACTTGATGTGTATATGAATAAAAGTAATTCAGTCTATTGTTTAGATTTTTTTAATTGAAAAATAAAGGTGGGCCATGTAAAAACTTAATTCTTTTGATAAGTTAAAAGATAAAGCTTAGGACATTATCTTTATAAACATTAAAAGGATTATATTTCATTAATGGTGAAAAGAGAATCCCTATTGTACTTATCTTTTTTGCATTACATATTCTTTAATTTTTCCTTACTTTTGAAATTTGGTGCAGTTCCTCCCATTGACATTATTGTACACAGGTAACACAGTACCAAATTCTGAATGATGTGATTAATATAAACCTAACAAAACTGAGCCAGTTATTTGAGTTTCACATGGAGACTTGAAGTGCTAAATGAAACAATCCAAAGGAAACTTTTCAAATACAGATTCTAGCTGCAGTATTCAACTATAAGAAAATAGTATTTATATAATATTTAGTATTTTTGAAGACTAGTGAGATTTCTTTAATAATTTTAACTCTTTAAAAACCAAAAGCTCATTGTATAGATATTTCCTTTTTGCTGTTAGAAGGAAATATCAAGAGAAAACTTGATTTCTTTGGTGGACAGTTGGTAATGTCAAATCTAGTTTGTTTGGCTGACTGATTTGTAAGCCTCAAGTACAGTAAGTTGAATTACAGCTCTTTGGCCTCGGAATTTTCAATAACAGAATTGCTGGTTAGCTATGATGAACCTTTTATTAGAAACCTGCAGTTGGTGATATTACATTCTCTCTATATATTTAAATGAGAGGTTTGACTTCATCTCAATTTAGAAATTTGTTCAAAGCTCAAGACGTGTATGTATATATACATGCACTTTTGTATGTGTATATACACATGGAAGCATGCAATTTGTCTAGTTATATGCAGAATTTCTATTAAGATTTCTAAAAGGGACAAGTAATATGCGCTTGATATGTTTATCTGAGTTGATTAAAATTTTGTATGTTACCAAAGTTTTTGAAGTAACAGTCAAATGCTAAGTTGTCTACTTGGCTACTCTGACACCTTAAAAATTGAGTTTACACACCTACACAATTATACGTTTATATGGTGCTCATTTGTTATCTGAAAGATAATGCGGGACTATAGTAGTGAGATGGATCCTACCAGCCACTCTGTTTCACTACATTTTAGTCAAAATTGAGTTCATTCTTGGTATTCATTAATGAAAGTCATAAAATAACTTGTACTAGAAGGCCCAAATCACAGAATAAAGCTGAAGAGTGGATTAGCTGACATTCCATACTAATTGTTTATGCTTTCTTTAAATTAAATAACTAAAAGAACATAAAATCTCAGAAGTAGTTTGCTGCCAATATATACATATGTTGTATAAAAAGGTATATTTTGGTATTGTTAAAACCCTTGTTGACTTTTCTACAGTGAATATTTTTTTAACTTGATTGAACAAAAATGTTAATTTTGAAAAAAAAAAAAGAACTTTAAGTTAATGATGGATCTTAAAATTGGAAATTGAGCCGAATTGTGGCAGATAAATGCAACTTAGAATCACATATTAGATGATAGCTAAAAACAGTTACCCCAAATGAAAAGGGGAATAATTAAATCACTATGATTTTGACAATCAAAAGACTTAACCCTGATTTAAAAGATATTATATGGTATACTTAATTTACTGGGACACATAATTTTAAATTTTATAAATAATAATAAATCTGAAAGTTACCATGAGGTAGTTTTTAGGCCAAAATTTAAAGCAGTGTGGGGCATACCAAGAGTCATCTCTGGGAGCGTGACAGGACAAATATATTCTATGTAATTATACATCAATTATTAGAATTTTCAGGAGTGTTCAAAGTATTTGAGGTTCATCCTTATTATCAACTTGAATTTTATTCTTGTTTGTAGCATGGAGAGCACTAATTTATCTAAAGTTAAACCTTTTTTATATTCCTGAGGTACATTTCGGTAAAACAAAGGGGAAAAAAAGGAAAAAACCTCACATGGTTGCTAGTCACTGAGATTGAAAAGGTGGTTCAGAACTCCGCTTTGGAGAGAGGCAGAACGACGTATGTGTGGGAAAGCAGGGTGCCTCTGCGCTTGAATTCAGACTGGACCTGGGACTGGGTCAAGGCCAGAACACAAGACTAAGCATTATTGTCATAGGGCAGCCACCCAACCGACTGCAGCCACACAGCAGTTCTGGACAGCTTTTGAGAATATGCCCCTCCCTTTGCAGCATTTCCCATCGGGTTCTCTCAGCCTCCGAGCACAGGGAAGGATTCTTCACCCCTGTGTCCTGACAGAACATTTTATCTCCCTGCAGGGCACAGGGAACCAGGCGAGAGCCAAGGGGGCAGCTGCACTGCCTCGGTGGGTTTCCAGCAAAGGAGCGTGGAAGGTCCACGGACAGAGGGGCCTGGTGGGCTAGAATCCAAGGGGTCGCAAAGACTTGGACAAGGCTGAGCCAGTGAGCACGAGCAGCAGGCGGTTCCACCACTCAGACGGAGCCAAAGCACACCTGATTGTCCGCCAAAGCAACCCTCAGGAGGCAGAGGGCAGCCGGTGCCGCAGAGGGCGGAGGATGAAAGCCTGGACACTTCTGGAAACTAAGGGCATGAGTGGCCTACAGTTGAGAAAGACCTGAATAGAACTCCAACTAGGCAATCGTTGCAAACAGCCCCTCTAGAGCGGCATTGGTGGTTCAGTGGTAGAATTCTTGCCTCCCATGCGGGAGACCCGGGTTTGATTCCCGGCCAATGCAGTATGGGCTTGTTCGTTTTGGGCTTCCCTGGTGGCTCAGAAGGTAAAGAATCCGTCTGAGGAGATACAGGAGACCTGGGCTGGGAAGATCCCCTGGAGAAGGAAATGGCAACCCACTCCAGTATTCTTGCCTGGAGAATCCCATGGACAGAGGAATGCTACAGTCCAAGGGGTGGCAAGAAGTCCAAAAGGACTGAGCGACCCAGAAGAGAACGGATTCCAGGTTCCGGAAGGGCCCAGAGGGCTCTCTTCTGGACGGTAAAGCTGTTCCCTGGCCTTGGAAGACAGGTCTCACGGAAGTTAGCTTTGAGAGGGACGGTAAAGGAAAGGAACAATCCTGAGATATCCACACATTACTACCAAGTGATGTCATAACTCTTACATAGAGAAAGAATGTGATGGCAACTGGGCACTTAGCTACAGAATATAGGATGTTAGTATTCTTGCTAACTTTTGGTATCTTAGAAAAGCTTTTGCTTTGGGTTTTGAATGAATTTTTGGAACTGAAGCCTCACATTCTCTTTGAATGGAAACTCTGTTAAGTAAGACTCTGAGTTGACCATGCCAGGAGAAAAGAGTGGATGCCAGGAGAAAAGAGTGGAGGCCAGAGCTGGCCAGCCCAGGCTGTTCATGGCATCTGAGCTCCAACAGCCAGCCTGAGGTCCAGGACCCTGAGGCGCAGACCCAGCGGCATTTAGAAACTCTGTGCAGAAATGTTCTGCACTGGACCTTTAAGCAAAATACAGTTCTGATCTGAGCAGGAAGATGGAGACTGGTGTGAGTAGAGACACTGGAAGAAAGAGAGTTTTCCCTGACCGGGAATCGAACCCGGGCCGCGGCGGTGAAAGCGCCGAATCCTAGCCACTAGACCACCAGGGAACTGTAGATAAAAACGCTTATTTGGTTCCCAGGACGCGCGGCGCAGGCGGCGCGGATCGTCGGGAGCCGGTTTGCTGCCGGAACGGGGTCCCGGCTGTGCCTGTGCAGCGGTGCGCTCTCGGGGCGTCAGCCGAGATGAACACGGTGCTGTCGCGGGCGAACTCGCTGTTCGCCTTCTCGCTGAGCGTGATGGCGGCGCTCACGTTCGGCTGCTTCATTACCACCGCCTTCAGACAGGAGCGTCCCGGTGCGGCTGCACGTCTCGCGGATCATGCTAAAAAATGTAGAAGACTTCACTGGACCTAGAGAAAGAAGTGATCTGGGATTCATTACGTTTGATATAACTGCTGATCTAGAAAATATATTTGATTGGAATGTTAAGCAGTTGTTTCTTTACTTATCAGCTGAATATTCAACAAAAAATAATGCTCTGAACCAGGTTGTCCTTTGGGACAAGATTGTTCTGAGAGGTGATAATCCGAAGCTGCTGTTAAAAGATATGAAAACAAAGTATTTTTTCTTTGACGACGGAAATGGTCTCAAGGGAAATAGGAATGTCACTTTAACCCTGTCCTGGAATGTCGTACCAAATGCTGGAATTCTACCTCTCGTGACAGGATCAGGACACGTATCCGTCCCATTTCCAGATACATATGAAATAACGAAGAGTTACTAAATTATTCTGAATTTGAAACAACATATTTTTATACCTAATGAATTGTATCTTGTTTCTCTCTTCTTGCATCTTCATTTGTTTTGGGTTAATTTTTTTTTTTGGTGTAAGAATGAACATCAGAAGGCATATTTGAAGGGAAAGACTAATGTACTACCTAATTTTCCAAATAAAAACAAACAAAGGCCACCAGAGTGGAGTATTGTAAGAGTAAGACAGCCGCATCAGAAGAGTCTGTGAAGTACTTGTATTTGAAGTCGTTGCTGTATTTCCATTATTCTGGATGGAATATGAGTGATCATGAAGGATAGTAAATACTTTCAGGTGCCTGTGGAGTTGGGAGAACTCTATTTAAGCCTTGCATTCATGCAGGCTCACATTGGATGTGATTTAGAAGCAGATACTTTCTTTTATCTCTTTTAGGGTATATTTCAATACTGGAAAAATTAATACACTTAGTAGTGAGAAGCCTGGTTTACAAAACAGCCAAACATGGAATTTTATTCCATTTGTCTTAGGAATGCCCAAATGCTTGTTTTTCTGACAGGTGACTAGCAGCTTTCTCCACTAAAGACTAAATACCTCTTTAAATGCAGTAAATCATTCTCAAATCATTTTAAAGTCACTTAAGTCTGTGTCTTTCAGTGCTTTCTCTAAAAAAGCTCCTTGATATTGTATCTTTGTGTGATTTTTTTTTTTTTTAACATTGCCATAGAAAGTTGAAAATGTTTGCATGGTTTACCCTCTGAGTTAAGTTTGTTCTACTAAGCATGCCAAGTGCCACTGAGTGGTAATTATTTAAATTTTTTTCTAGGTCCACATTTTAATAATTATTGGGGTAATAATAATCAATATTGTTGGTGTGCTTTTCCATTTATAAGCACTCACGTATATTTGACTGTATGTTATTCTCAATAATCTAATGAGGTAGGTAGTGCAAATGTTAGTTCTTTGCAGATGAAGAAACTGACCCAGAAGTTTATTGAATTGCTTCCAGGTTATTATATAGCCAGCAAGGAAGGGCATTGACCCTTGAACTCAGATCTGATTCTCTGAGCATGTCCTCTCTTCTATACCTCAGATGACAGACTAGTCAAAATTCACTTCTGTAATTTTTAATACAGTTTTTGTTACCCTGGACACCCTTTCTATTAGTTAGGAGAGTCCCTTTTCTAAATGAAAGTGACTGATTTTCAAGTTGCCAACAATTTATATAGAGATAATATGTCACTCATCCTCTGCATAAATTAATTCTTCTCACGTTAAACGAATCCAAGCGTATGTGAAAATAATTTAGAGATTGATTATATGATCATATTTAACCGTGTTTTTTCCTACAGTGGACAAATAAACATCCTCAAAGGAAGCAACTGCAGATCAATCACCCTTAAAAGCTAGACCAAACACTGCAGGAACAGTGTCAGCAGTGACCAAAAAGGGCTAATGTTTTCTAAGCATCGTTTATACCAGTGGCTGACGTTTGTTAGGAGAAACACATCTCCATTTACTTACATTGCCTGGAACATCTTGGCTTGTAAGGACATGTGTTCTGTGGAGGCCAGAGGTACAGTGTCATGAATACTAGACTGGGTTTGGCTCGCAGCTTTTTCGTTAAACTTTTCAGGGGCTCCATTTCTTTATCTGTAAAATGACAAGAGTTGGACTAGTTAACTTAAACAGTGATTCTTTTATACCGTACACATCTGTAAAATTAGTTGTATCTCTGGCCGATTGAACAGGAAAGCACCTTAGTAATGAGAGGGCAGATGTAATGTGACTGAAAGATGAATTAACATAATTCATAATTGATCTGATTTTATTTCTGTTAGATTTTACACCCAGAAGATTTAACTTTTTGTATAGTTTTTGTACAAATACTAGACACAAACTTAACATCTGTCGCCATCGAAGCTTAAAAGGGTGTGTTCTTGAGGGTGCTCTCAATGGGCCTGCAGCCCAAGGCAGACCTAGGGCCAGCTGAGGCGCTCAGATGCCACTGGACACCTGGGTTTGTATTTGCTGCACATGAATGTGGAAATTTACTCCCGCTACTGTTCAGGCTCACCCCCTTTTTGGAGTTAGGTGAGGAAGGGGAGTAGAGAGGCCCACTTGCACAATGGAGTTTTTGCTTGCATTGGAAAGAGAAGCTGCTCAGGACAAGGATGATCCAACACGGGAACACAAAACCTTCCTCTCAGGAACTCATTTTTGGGTTTGCACAGCTTTGTAAGTCCACTGTAACTGCATGAAAAAGTTGGACCTGTGTTTAGTTGATAACATTGTCTACCTTAGCATCAGTGTTTTCAAAAGTCTTGCATTTCCACAAGACTGAAGCCTTCACCCTTTGGATTAGAAACATCCAAGTCCCGGGATCATCCTGGAAAAGAGTAATTGCAAGACTCTCCTCTGATGTATTCCCATGTTCCTTTTTCCTGCGGTTTAACCTGGACCAGCACTTAATCTGATTTTCATGCCCCACAATTGATGACATTTGGTTTCTTTGTGCCTAGAGAACGATAACAGACCAGAAATCCTTTATGGTGTAACAGGAAAAGGGGTGATTTTGAGTTTCTGTTTTTGTAATTATCTTGCAGCTCTTTGGTGGGTCTGGCCAGCCTAGAGAGAGGCTTTAAGGCTATAAGAACTACCTAAACCTTAAAGCTTTGGATCTTTGGGGTACAGGTTAATGGGGCTGTGTTTTATAATGCTTTGAATTGACATGAAATGAGTTTATGGGGGGAAAAACCATAAGCTGTGAATTTAAATAATCAACATCTGTCCATTTCAGAAGCCTCCCTTGCTTTTAGCAGACAGCCTATGTACCTTTCATGTGACTGCCAGTGGTTTAAAAAAATACGTTTTCAAAAAATTGTTGCATGTTTTGATGCAATTTGGGAAACTGTTTACTTTAAATTCATAAGAAAAACATGTCAATACTGAAGAAATGTTTGAGGCTTTTCTTAATTACAATAAATAGTCAACATTTTTCTAATGAAAATGAATTTTGTTTATGAGTAAAAGGTATGCATTTAAAAGACTTTCAGATTGATGCTTTTTTTAAAAATGTGAAGCTGCTGAACTAAAAATGGATGAAACCAAGTCTAAAAAAAAAAAAAAACGCTTATTTATCTTCTCCAGGTGAAAGGTGACTGGAAGATGACCCTTCAGAAAGTCAGAAAGCTGGAAAGGAAATGTCGCAGCGGCCCAGGGCTGTGTGCAGCCTTGCGAGGCTCCCAGCCCTGCCCTCGCCGCTCATCGCCCTTCACCTCTCCTGTCCTGGGCGTCGCTTTGGCTCTGGGGCAAGGACACAAAGCAGCGGGCTGGGTCCCTCCTGCTCTAGCTCTAGCGCGGCGTGCTGCCGAGCCCAGGTCTTGGTCTCTTCGTGAACCTCGGGTTTCTTTGGAGTCAGGCTCGGTGATGAGTGGCGGGTGATGAGCGGATCCGTCCACCTCCAGATCTCTGACCTGGCTCCAGGGCCTCTCCGGGCGCTGAATAAACTTCCAGGTGGTCACCAACTCTGCCTACAGCTGCGTCCCCTGCCTCACCCCGGACCTTTCGCTCCTGTTGGTTTTGCCAAAGGGAACGCACATCTCAGGGGGAAAAAAAGAAGGAGGAGGAATGTTTCCGCCCGGTTTCGAACCGGGGACCTTTCGCGTGTGAGGCGAACGTGATAACCACTACACTACGGAAACGGGACAACCCATACTTTTGAACACTGTATCCAAGAAATCCCGAGGCCCCGCCACCACTATCCACACCACCGACTCTTAACTCTGAAAGAGGAACCTTGAAGCCCCAAGCTCTCTCAGGCACGGAGACGGCGGCCCCCGAAGGCCCTGCTTTAGGGTTCCTCCTCTCCCGTGAAGTGAGGACCCTCGGGCCCCCACAGGCTGCCTTCGGGGTCCCGCACCCAACGCAGAATCCTCAGACCCGCAGCTGCGCAGCATGAGTTCAGGGGTCGCCCCCGCCGACTGCCCAGCTCCCGGAAGCCGCAGGAGGCGGGGACTGGGTGCGCTCGAGGCCCAGGAGACCCCGCAGCCCAGCGGTGTGGACGCCGCCCCTCAGTGGCCCTTTTCCTGGCGCCGGCGGTCAGCGCTCCGGGCTCTCAGGAATGACCGAGGCTCCCCGTCCACCCGGGACCCGCCCTCTCCGCTGCCCCTTTGCACCTGACTCCTGCGCTCTTTCTCCTCAAGCCGGCTCGCCGCAGTACTTCTCTGGTGTCCTCCTGTCAAAAGGGAGTCTCTTTGGTGTTGCCTAAAATGTCACCCCACCGTCCCTGGGTGGGCTCGAACCACCAACCTTTCAGTTAACAGCCGAACGCGCTAACTGACTGCGCCACAGAGACAGAAGTAAGAGATTCTTTTGGACTCTCTATGGAGTAGACACTCATGCCCGGGTTAAGGACTCTGGCCCCCAAGAGAAAGGGTGTCATTTCTCTGCCCATTACCCGCTACAGATGCCAGTGACCCCCAAAAATTTGGGATCCAGGGCTCGAACCTTCCAGGCCTGAACCGAAATAGATCCAAGGACAGCTGAACACCGGGTTGGCTGCCATGAGGGCTCTTCCCGTTTCCTCGCCTACATCCAATGAATCAGAGTTTGCCCACCCTGGCAAAGGCCTCCGGGTCTGTGCTTTGGTTTCCTGTGTGCACCAGGCGGTCCACCAGAGTGGGCTTCCCTGGGGGCTCAGACTGCAAGGATCCGTCTACAATGCAGGACACCCTGGTTCAATCCCTGATTTTGGAAGATCCCCTGGAGAAGGGAGTAGCCACCCACTCCAGTATTCTTACTTGGAGAATCTTTGGACAGTGGAGTCTGGTGGGCTACAGTCCCTGGGGACACAAAGAGTTGAATTCCACTGAGCTTCCTTGACTTCCCTTTAAGTGAGTATAGCTGGTTTGTCTGAGTGTTTTCTTTAAATGGTTATTTTTACTCACATTGTAAATTTAACAACTAGACACTTGTTGCGAGAATAACTTACCCCTGTCCAAATCAGAAGTATA